CGCACACAAAAATGAGGGAGAGAAGAAGAAAAAGACAAAAAAAAAAAAAAACATTTTCTATTGTGGAAACTAAAAAGGAAAAAAAATTTTTTTTTTTTTATTAAAGAATTGAGGATCCGTTTATTTTTTACTTCCTTTTTTTTTTTTATTTTCTTTTTGTCCACCCGAAGAAAATACAAAAAAAAAGAAAAAAAAGCTCGAGTTTCTCTCTTTTTTTATTCTTCTTCCATTTTTTTTTTTTTAATTAATTTTCTTTTTCTTCCCCTGTTTTCTCCCCTCCCCCCACTTTCAACGGGACAAATCTCTTATGTTAACAAGATTTTATTCGTAAAAAAAAATTTAAATTAAAAAAAAATTGATTTTTTTTTTATTTCGTTAAATGGAAAATATATATATATATATATATATATATATATAAATTTATTGGGAGTAAATGTCATAGAGATGATAAACTTTTGTGGAAAAAAAAGAAAATTTAACGGAAATGCAACGAATCGTTTCTTTTTTTCTTTCTGTACTTATCACGTATCGCGAGAGTATTTACTTATTTTTACTTTTCCGATAAATTTAAAATTTTTTACGCATCAATATAAATAATAATAATGATAATAAAAATTTTCTAGAAGAAGACAAATTAATTTTTTTTTTTTTTTCGATCCCTTTGGGAAAACGTTTTGATAAACGTGCAAATAGTCGCTCTCACGGGACGACGGAAACTCATGTGACGATTTTAAACGTTTTAAATTTTTTTTTTTTTTTAATTTTTTCGCCATTTTTATTTTTTATTTTAAATCTTTACGAATAAGTAAGGAAACAAACAAAGGGGGAAAAAAAACAAACAAAATAATAATAATAATAATAATAACATCGGAAAATAAACTTTAACTCAAGTTTAGATGAAATCGGTTTTATCGAGAGAAAGAAAAATAAAAATGTTTTTTTTTTTTCTGACGGGAAAAAAAGGAAAAAAGAGAGAGAGAGAAAGAGAGAGAGAGAAAAAACTACAAAAAGTGTAATTGAAAAAACGCCTTGAAGCCTCATCATCCATTCATGCATTAAGGTGTTAAATCCGATCCGTAAACTTTGTCTTGCGTTTTTCTTTTTTTCGTACCTTCCTTTTTCACACGTCTAAAACCACGTTTTTATTCAATTATTATTATTATTATTTTAAAAAAACAACAACAAATTCGTCGCCAAGTTTTTTTTTTTTTTTATAACATTAACTTTTAAATCTACGTGTGAACGTGCGTGTTTACAAACGTATAAAATTATGTTATTATCAGTTTAATTCTATTTACACGTCATTAAATTAAATCCACGTAATTTTTTTTTAATAACTATAATAATAAATAAATAAATGCATAAGTTTAATTAAAAGAAGATAGAAAAAAAAAATTATTTTATTTTATTTTTAACGTTTCGTTTCGTTTTTTTTTTTTTTCTGTTATTTCCACGTGGCATTTTTTTTTTTTTCGTTTCTATTCCAGAACGAAAAAAAAAAAAATGGAAAAAAAGAGAGAGAGAAAGAGTGAGAGAGAGAGAAAAAATTAAATTTTCCTTTTAGGAAAAATAAATTTAACTCGGTGAAATGTTTTGACGGCATTGAAATAAATCAGTTTAATTTGCTCGAGACTTGTTGTTTCTTTTTTTTTTTTTTTTGTTGCTCTCCTCTTTTCGTGTAATTAGAAAAATCATTTGTAGCTATAATCGCTTCTTCTTTTTTTTCTTATTCTTATTCTTATCCTGCATAACCTTTGCCCTTTTCCCTCTATTTTTTTTTTTTTTTTGTAAAATTATAATTATAGTTCTCGTTGTTGTTGTTGCTGTTGCCGCTGTTTATTAATAACGATTACGTATAAAATATTAATAAAAATAAAATGAATTGTAATTAAATAAAATAAAAAAAAGTCTTCTGCTTGTAATCACGTGCTTTAATTTGTTTTCGTAATGGTTTCCCCATAAAAAAAACATCTCATTCTAAATTTTCACATTAGACGAAATAACGTCTTTTTTTTTTTTTGGTTAAAGAGTCCGCCGGATATGTAGTAAAAGTTAAGGTTAATGACGTCACAGAGGAAAGGATCCTTTCAATTATGAAACAACTTTAGATATGCTTTTATTAATTGATTCCTTCCACTAAGATAACCTCATTATAGGATCTTGATTAAATTATTCATCAATGTGTCTTCTTCCATATTGAATGAAGAAAGGTTGACGTTTACGTATCCCCCATTTCTCTCTCTCTCTCTCTCTTTTTGTCTTGTATAAAATTTTCAATTCTTCCTTTTTACCTTCGCGCATCATCGAACAACTTAAAATCCATTTTTTTATAAAATCATATTTTACTTCCTCCTGAAAATAAACTCATGGGCAAAACGGATGTTGTTGTTTTGGGTATTAAATTTTTTATATTAACTAAATAATTTTCGATGATGATAATAATAATAATAATTTATCAGGTTATTTTCGTTCGGGTTTTAAATAAAAAAAAAAATGTCAATCGTTAGAGACGTAACGTAAACGACAGTTGGGGTTTTTATCTTATAAATTTCATCGGAAATAATTTTAATTATTATTATTATTATCGAGGGCGGGGGGAGGGGGGGATGAAAATAAATGTTTCTTATGCCCTCGAGATGTTCGACTATTAGTTGTTATGTATGCACCCACTTTTATAATAAGTTTCTTTCCATTATCGTCCGATATGTAAAACATGGTAATTTTTTCTCTATTGAGTCTGTCGTTGTTTTAACATTTACTTTTATAATTCATATCATCTCCCTTTTATTATTAAATTAAAATAAAATTACAATTGTAAATTTTTTTTGGGGGTGTTGTTATTTACTCTATGATATTTTCATTTGTAACCGGTAAAAAAAAAAATTCAATGAGAAAAAATAAAAATTTATTCGGGTCGAATAAATTACAAACAAACAATAAGAAAGAAAAAGGAAAAAATCGAGTTGAATAAAAAGAAAAAAAAAAAAAAGAAAATAAAGTAATTTATCTTTTTAAGAAATAAACAGGAACAGCAGGAGCAGGAAGAATAACAACAGGAGGAAGAACAAAAATCGTGTAAAAGTATCAGCAGAACATTAACAGAAAGAGAGAGAGAGAGAAAAGAATGGCAAGAAATGGTAACTTTTTTACACCTGATTACGGTGGGGGTTTTTTTTAAAATAAGGGATGCCAATTTTTTTGTTTGTTTGTTTTGTTTTTTTGTAATAGAACAATCTAGAAAATTATAAAAACGAAATCGATTTGTTTTCTACGTATGTTAATTATGTGACGACAAAGAACAACGAACGAAATCAACAGTCACAATTTTAAATTTAGCAGCATTTTAAAAAAAAATATCGTCTGCTGCAAAGTATTTTTATATGAAAACAGAGAAAGGAGGATGGAAAAAAGGAAAAAAGAAAAATTTTTTTTTTTCACGCTAATCTATTTACCATCAATAAAAGCGAGTAAAGCAAACATCGCCCACTATTAATAAAGAGTAAACCAAATGAGAGAAAAAGAATAAGAAGAGAAAGAAAAAGAGTGACAGATGGATGACCGTGGAAAGAGTGAGTAAAATTTAACCGCAGGCGAATTGGGAAATAATAATAATAATAATAATAAACCCAATTACCCGCGATATTCTGTTGTAGTTTTACGTCACGAAAACAAAAAAAAATAAACCATACATGTACCAATTTGATAAATCCATACGTTCATATAGGAAAAATGTTAGTTATTTGAAAAAGAGGGATGATCCCGTTTTATCCTTAGAACTAATAGTAGTAGTAGTACTACTACTACTACAACAAGGACTAATATTTTCTCAACGTATTTAGTTAAGTTAATAATTAAATTTTGAAAATACTGGCATATTTGCCTCATAAAAACCCTCAAGGGTTGCCAATAATATAAAACTTTTTTCCCTTTTTCCTTTAACAACCGTCAAAGGAATTTTCTCTTAACTTAAAATGACAGGATTCGTACAAAAAAAAAAAAAAATTTTTTTCCTGCTTGTTTTCTTTCCATGACTCATTTCACGACCAAAGATGCCAACTGACGTCATTATTAAACAAATATTAAAACCGGAAATACGTTGTTTCGAAACGATTGATTATTTGAAAAAATTATTTAAATATAGGAAATGGTTTTACTTCGTCGAAAAAAGAAAATGGAAAATGCATTTAAAAAATTATCATCCATCCATTGGATTTTTCCTTTTTTTTTTTTATATTCCGACGACAATAAAATGCGAAAAAGGTTTTTAAATAATTAGAAGGAGAAGAAGCGATTTGAGAACATAAAATAAACAGGAAATTTGAGACAAGAAGTATAAAAAGGGAGAAGACGGGAGTTATCTTAAGATAAGGAAGATTAGAAGGAAGAAAAAGGAGAAGGAGGAGGAAAGTGCCGAGATGAGAGGCTCATCTCCATCTCATTATCTGCTTGGACGAATTTCAACACAAAACCCTTAATTCCTTTCTCTCTCTCTCTCTCTTTTACGTGCGCCTCTTCATTTCGTGATTTTAAATTTAAAAAAAAAAAAAACAAAAAAAAATCCATTAATCAATTTATTAATAGTATATTTTTATTATTATTTGTATAAAAATTTATTTTTAACGTAATTAGTTATTTATTTTGATTTGAAGTGTGTGTGAGAGAGAGAGAAAGAAAATGTAAAGAAAATTAAATTACTCATGGTGAAAAATAAAAAAAAAAAAAGTTTTTTAAACAAGTAAAGTTACCGAACAAATTTAATCGTGAACAATAACAAATTAATCAATAATAATAATAATAATAAAAAGTTTTTACAAAGGTTTTGATTTCTCTGGAACCGTATTAAGGTTCCGACACCATCTTGTAGGCGTAACCTTTGACCTAAAGGTAAAAAAAAAAAGAAATACCCGAGGTTATTACTCAATGATTGCGACGATACGTTAAATACGTCGAATTTCATTGTTAAATGATATTGATTTTATTTATTTTTCTTTTTGTTTCAGGTTCTTTTTAAAATTTTTCCTGAAGTGCAATCAAAATTGTTTAAAAAATGCGGGTAATCCGAGAGATATGAGAAGATTTCAGGTGAGTAAATAATAGTAATAATAAATTTATTTTTTTATTTAATTAGTGAAAAACACGAGAAAAAAAAGTTGAGTTGGGGGAAGAGGGAAGGGGGGAGGAAATTTTTTTCCTGGAAAAAAAAGCGAGAAAAAAAAATTATAATTTTCAACACGGTGAATTCTTTGCAAAAAAAAAAAAAAAAAACGGGAAAGAACGAACAAACAAAAAAAAAAAAAAACAACAACAACAACAACCGTTGTTCAGTCCAGTTAGCAAAAAAAAAGGCGAAAAAAAAAAAAATATGAAGTGAATTCCTGGGGGTTTAAAGAGTTAAGAAGTTTAATGTGAAGGATTAGAAGAAGATGAACGTAAAAACGGCCGTATCGCTCTCTTTAATCACGTAGCAAAAGTCATAAAAAAAATTGTGCGCCATTTCGCGGAAGGGAAAAAAAAAAAAAAAGAAAACTACACGTTAGTCTATCTATTGTCGATAACTCCTCCTCCCGGGGGAAAGAAAATCTCCAGGGAATGGAAAAAAAGAAAAAAAAAATTTTTTTTTCTTTTTTTTTTTCCCCGGAGAATTTCCCATCATAAATTGAACTTGAAGAAAAATGAATTTACAACGTTGATTCTTGTTTTCTTATAATAAATCTATATTTCCATAGAGTAAAATTGATTTGGAAAACTTTAAAAAGTAACATTTACATATAAATTGTAGCGTTAAATATGATAAATATTAACGGATGTTTAATTAATTTTTTTTTTCTGTTGGTTTATAGCGCGAATTATAGCGTTATAGTGATGATGATGATGATGATGACGAGAGGAATTATTATTATCTGAAAATAATTAAAATTTTAAATATTATAATAAATTTATTACCACAACAAAATAATAAAATTTAAACAAACTTCGATATAAATAAGTTTTTTTTTTTTTCTTATTCTTCTTCCACGTTTCACGAGTCGCACGTTTTACCAACCGAAAACAAAAAAAAAGTCTTAATTAAACCGGATGTAATAATAAATTTACATAAAGTAAAATAATTTACTCAATGTTTTTTACTTTTTTTTTTTTTTTTTTTTTTCAAAAAATAAAAGTTTTCTTGTCGCGAGAAGAACAACTCAAAAAAAAAAAAAAAAAAAACAAAAAAAAGGATCTCCCGGGTTTTTCTAGAAGGTTCCACGCACAAATATATAAATTTTTTTTTTTTTTGAGGGTTGTAACCCCCCTTCCGCTTTCGGTTGTTTTTTTTTTTTGCCGTCAAAAGTTTTTTTAAAGTTTTTCCCCGGGTAAATTTCTACTAATTGCGTCCAAGTTTTTTTTTTCTGCCCCTTAACGCCCCCAACCCTCCCCCCACTCTCTCTCTCTTTGTTTTTATTCATTTTTTTTATTGCGAGAAATCCACTAAAAAAAAAAAAAAGGCAAAACACACACACAACGAGAAAATTTTCTGAGACATTTATTTTTAAAGGTTCTTTTAATTTCTTTACTTCACCTTTTCTTTATCGTTTCACGCTTCTTTTATCTCTTTTACATGCGGCAGATTTTTTTTTTTTTTTTTACCTTCGAGCAATGCTAACGCCATTTTTTTTTTTATAACGACCGAGAAATAATAATAATAATAATAATGATTTCGAACGAGGAGTGCGAGATTAACCATTAAAAAAAAAAAAAAAAAAATTTCTAAGTTTCATTGTTTTTTTTGTTTGTTTGTTTGTTTGTTTTTTCCTTGTTTGTTGTAAACAAATTTTTTTTTATTGTTACAGGTAGTAATAGCGACTCAAGTGAACGTCGAAGGTCCACTTTTAGCCGTTTCGGACAATATGTTTGTACATAACAATTCGAAACATGGAAGAAGGGCAAAAAGACTAGACCCTTCAGACGGTGAGTGTGAAGGTGTGAATCGGTTATTATTATTTATTTATTTATTTATTTATTACAATAATATCGATTAAATGTGATCACTTAATTTATCGATCGATCGATAGATCGAATATTAAAAATACGACAAAAATGAATTTTATTCGAGAGAGAGAGAGAGAGAGAGAGAGAGAGCAAGTAATTTTCCAAAGTTTTTGAATTCGGTTGGGTCTAGCATACAAACGAGGTTGTTTGTCTTCTCTGTTCGATTCTAAAATAGGACAGAACTTTTTTATTTTTTTTCCACATAGCCATCTTTAAAACAAAGGAAAAAAGGAGGAAAAGGAAAAGAAAAAAAATTGTACGGGGAAAAGCTGAATAAAATGCAAAAAGAATAAAAATAAAAAAAAAAAATTTCATTGGCGTGCCCTTTTCCTTACCCTCTCTAACATTCATCCCTTTTTTTTTTTCATTTTTATAACGTTTCCTCCCTTCCGTTTTTTTTTCTTTATAACTGATTCAAGACTTGTTTTCTAGAAAGTTCTATAAGAAAACTGGTTGAGTTTGGAAAAAAATAAAACGTTAGAGAGAGAAAGAGAGAGAGTAAAACGCTTCGAACATTAATTTTTTTTTTTTATTTTTCCCGTCTTTGTCGTTATAAAAATTATTACCGGAAAACGTGGCAGAAGAAAAAAAAAAGAAGGTGGAAAGGAGTGGTAGAAGGCGGGAGAGAGGAGGGGAGGGAAATAATGTTTTGTTGTTAAATAAATATCATACCTGAAATTTTTTTTTTAAAAAAAAAAGTGAAAAATTTATATAAATTCGCGATAGGAAAAAGTTTTTCTTTTTTTTTTTTGGGGGGGGAGGAGCGGGTTTGGAGGGTACGTGGGGAGGCATATCAATGAGAATGAAACGAATCGGATGATTTGTTAGCAATATATAGAAAAAAAAAACCTATTCGTTTAACGTTTTAAAGGTTGCCCTAAAAATGCCCTCCGGAAATTCTTTTTTTTTTTTAAATTATCCTAAACAACATGATGATTTACTTTCGTTTCCTTTCTCGCTCTCTCTCTATCTTTCTCTCTCTCTCTCTCTCTCTCTCGCTCTTCCAACATAAAATCTACTAAATTTTTTTTTAAATACTTTTTCCTAATTTTTTCTTACTTACCCTCTTCCCTCTCCTCTTTCTCCCTACAAAATCTAATAAAAAAAAAAATAAGAAATAAAAATCGGAAAACCTTTTTCTTTTCTTTCGATAATAAAAAAAAAAAAAAATAGGAAATTGAAGAATTTCGGTTCGTTTGTGTCGAAACTTTGGGTTCATCGGTCAGTCGATTCCGAGTAAGAAAAAACTAGGGAGTAGGGGAGTCGAAAAGATGAAATAAAAAAAAAAAAAGAAATCGAAATTAATGGAAAGAGATAGAGGAAGAGAGAGTGAGAGAGAAAAAAACGATAAATTCGAATTTTAGGACGACCAATCAAAGATTGCAATTTCAGACTTTCTTACAACCTCATAAACCAATCATGAATTGTCCATTGGCCTACCAAAAAGGTTATCAACTTTTATAAAAAACAACCTTTTTTTTTTTTTTTTGTAAACAATTTATATATTTACTTAGCTTATCCATAAAATTATTTCACACGACTTGACTTTTTTTTCATATACCTTTTTTAAATTTTTTACGATTTTCTTCTTCTTTTCCCTTCCTCCTCTCTCTCTCTCTACCCTTTCCCAATTCCTCATCGTCCGCCATTTTTTCCAGAAAGAGGGGGAGAAAAATAACAATTCCGCGATCACGACGGCGGTGATTTTTTTTTTTTTTACGTTCGACGAGAAAAAAATTAAAAAGAAATTAAAAAATTTTTCATTTGGTTTTATATAATTAAAGTTTTTCGAAAGAAAAGAAAAAGAAGGAGAAAGAAAGGGGGAGGGGGGTAGAAAAAGAAGAAGAAGAAGAAATAAATGGTAAAAAAAAATCGAATTTAAAAAAGTTGCGATAAATTATCATTTTGAATTGCATATAATTTTATGGTTGAAGTGGTAGCTCAACGTACCGTCTCGTTCATTTCTCAACCGTACCGTACCGAGAATCTTAATTCATTCCTTTTACATCTCTAATCACGGATCAATCATTCATTCATTCATTCATTCGTTTGTTTTTTTTGCAGGTCTTTATCCTCCTTTACCCGTAGCCACGCCATGTATTAAAGCAATTAGTCCTAGCGAAGGATGGACGGCGGGTGGTTCGACCGTTATTATCGTAGGTGACAACTTTTTCGATGGCCTTCAGGTTGTTTTTGGGACCATGTTAGTTTGGAGCGAGGTAAATATTTCATACATATTGATGGATTCATTTCGAGTTATCGTTTAAATCGATTTATTTATCGAATTTTTTTTTATTATTTAGTTGATAACGTCTCACGCCATAAGAGTTCAAACTCCTCCAAGACACATTCCAGGCGTTGTTGAAGTCACGTTATCTTATAAATCAAAACAATTTTGCAAAGGTGCTCCCGGACGTTTTGTTTATGTTTGTAAGTATACGTCGATGTAATTAAATCAAAATCGGGGGAGAGGAGGGAAGGGAAAAGGGAGAGGAAAAAAAGCAAAAAAAAAATCAGTCAGCGTTCTTCGACGGACGGTTAAATCGACCGCAAAAACGGAAAGAATAAAATCTTTAGGGAATATTCGGAAAACGATAATTTTTTTTTATTTACCTTAAACCTTTGCAAAAAGGTTGTTGTTGTTGTTGTTTGTTTGCTGATTGAGATTATGTATCAATGGAGAATAATTTTTTTATAAATATAAAACCTCATCATTTTTTTTTTTATAATGCGAGAGAGATAGAGGTGAGGAAGTGAGAGTGGTTCTTCTTCTTATCATTCTTTATTTTTTTTCAGCTTTAAGCGAACCAACAATAGATTACGGTTTTCAAAGACTCCAAAAATTAATTCCAAGGCATCCAGGTGATCCAGAAAAATTACCAAAGGTATATAAAAAAATTGAATCGAATTAATTTAAAAAAAAGACATTTTTTTAATTTTTGTTTTTTTTTTTTACGACAGGAAATAATATTAAAAAGGGCAGCTGATTTAGCGGAAGCTTTGTACAGCATGCCAAGAACGAATCAGTTAATGTCAGGTCCAAGATCTCCCTCAATGTCAAATAATGGAATGCCTGGTGGATTTAATAGTTATACTGGACAATTGGCAGTGAGCGTCCAGGAAAATGGAAATGGTCAGTGGACAGAAGGTGCTTGTCCTTCCTTCGAACGAGTTTCCCCCCCCCCCCCGTTTCAACACAGATCAAAAAAATATAAAATTGTCCGAAAAAATTGGTCACGTGTAAAAAAAAAATAATTTCATGTGTCGAAAAACTGATAGATTCGATCTTACTGTAGGGTTTTTCTTCTAGAAGAGTATGGTAGGGCGCAAAGCAGTAGTGTTTCACCACGAGGGGGTTACGGATCGAGCGCTTCGACTCCACATTCAAGCAACGGTGGTTCCTACGGCACTGCACCTTCAACATCCGGTGTAGCCATAAATGGAAACTACGGTGGATCGACACCGACGAATAATGGTGCTAATATGGGATCTCCAGCAGGTGTGATTGATTGATTTTATAATCAAACATTTTTTAAATCGTTACGTTTTATTTATATATTAAAATAAATATATTTATTTACAGGTATCGGAAGTTTGGTACCATCACCATTTGCAGCCATAAATCCTTTTGCTCTCCCAACATGCAGTTCTCAAGCATATAGTTCAAGTCCATTGATAGCAGCAAGTAAATAACATTCGGAGGATTCTGCACTTTCAAGTAGTTCAATGGCTTCTGTAAGTGCAAGTTTAACAACAACAGTTAGTAGTACTTCTTTAAATTCTTCTGTGAGTAAAACAATACCTTTTTTCTTTTTAAAGTTTATTAAAAAAAAAACAAAGACGGTAATTGTACCTTTTTTTTTATTTTCAGGTTATCGAAACGAATCCTCCACTTATGACAACAAAAAAATATTTTACAGACGACTAGTCATTAAAAAAAGATATAACAGGAAAATTGACAAGTGAAGAAAAATCATAGAAAAAATTTAAAAAAAAACTTGTATAAATTTAGTTGTAGATTTAAAAAAAAAAAAAAAAAAAAAACTAATTGTACAAATACTGCATAGTAGAAAAAACATTTTTTTATATATAAAATACTTAAAAAAAAAAGAAAAAAAAAAAAACATAAATTATTTTAATTGTAAATAACAAACGAATGCGGTAAACATATCTATTATTATTAATTGATTTAATTATAAATAAAAAAAAAATTTCTTATACATCTTGTCTTGTATTTTTTTTATCCTTTCCATTTTTTTAAATTATTCCAATTTTTTATAATTAATTTTTTTAAGTAATAATATTAAATACGAAACTCTAAAAATTTTATCTTTGTTAAAAAAAAAATTAATAATAAAATGCAACTGTGGCCTTGACACAGTAATGCACAAGGTGAGACTCCAACGTTAAAATTTTGTTGTTAGCGTGGCCTTGATTTCAAGGCCAGTGCACGATTTTTATTTTGTTGTTAGCGTGGCCTTGATTTCAAGGCCAGTACACGATTTTTATTTTGTTGTAGCTATGGCCTTGATTTCAGGGCCAGTACACGATGACCCAGTTTCTCGGACGCTACTCGGACGATTTTGTGTTATGCAATTTTACATACATTCTTGTACATTATAGGACATAACTGAAAAACGTAGGGGGGCAAATTTAAAACTGTTTTAACGTTATACGCAATTTTTTAAAAGTTTTTTATTTTCCGGATGGGTGTCTCTGTTCAACAATAAGTAATTTAAAGCTTATTATTGAAAATTATGTATTAAATACATAATGGAAAATTTGAATTTTTATTTATTAATGTTTAAGGTAAAAGGAAAAGGTTTTAGGTACGAAATAAAATAATCAACAAGCAAAACATTTTTTTTATAACAATCAATTATGTATTTGCTTCATATAAACATTTTATTATTATTATTATTATTATTATTATTATTTTATTACTTATTCATTTATTTATACAGTTTATTAATTATTATTATTATTTCACAATGGACAGAATTAAGTTTTGATTAAAGTCAAATAATCAAAACTAATTTATTTATTTATTATTCATTTATTTAATTTATTTCCTTTGAAACTCTTTTCTTAAGCGTTTCATTAAAAAAAAAAAAGAAAGAAAATAAAAAATTATTAACAATTTTAAAAGAAATAATAATAATAATAATAATAATAATAATAATAATAATAATAATAATAATAACTATTATTATTAAGATTAATAACCTATAAAATAAAATAAAAAATTAATAATTTTACTTATTTACACTCACGTAATAATAAAAACTTTTACAAAAATTCAATACGCAATCGATCGATTAACAAACGAGAGGGGTATAGAGGTTTAAAAAAAAAACAAAAAAAAAAAAAACAAAAAACGAGACAAAAATTTAAAATTATTGTTTGTCGTTTGTTGATTGTTTGACGCCGTACGAAATCTTTTCCATTTTGTTGTTTAAAAAAAAACTAAAAAAAAAGAAATAAAAACCGAACGAAAAAAATTATTTACCTCATTGGCAGTAATAAAAATTATTCTATCATCCCCGACGTTTGTTTGTTTGTTTGTTTGTTTGTTCGTTTGTTTGCTTGTTTATTTATATTTTTTTTTATTAATATTTTTAAATTAACTTGTATAAAATAATTGTTTTTTTTTTTTTTTAATTAAATTACATAACATTATTTTCGGTGGATTTCCTGAGCAGTGTTTGTTGTGTTTTTGAGTGTGTTTGTTTGTTTGTATTGAGTTTGTCTCATAAATAAGACGTTTCTTGAAGGTAAATTTCTTCTGTGGGTCAGAAACGAGTCGCCGTTAATCTAGGTATCGTACCTGTTTCTAAAAGTGGACGACAAGCACTCATCTGTTTAAGAAAACAAAAATATTATAATTTTTTCTTTTTCTGTTTTCTTTTTCCACGATCATTTCTTTTTTTATTTTTACCGTGCTATCAGAATGATTTGAAGTTGCATCTTCCATTGTCGTCGGATAAATGGATAAACTTTTATTTACTTGAATATCCGCATATTCAATCGGTTTCGCGGATATCCTTTGATTTCCAACTATTGGATGCAAATTCGAACGTGGCAGCGACATTTCTGCATAAACCACGTCGTCTCTCTGAAAAATATTACAAATAATTAATTTTTTTTTTCCCTCCCTCCTAACTTTAAAAACCGGAAGTAATCGGAAGTATGAATATTTACCGTTTTACATAATTCTGGCACTGAATAACCGGCTGAATGAGCAGCACTTTGTAAACTTCTTGGAACCGAAGCTAAAATTCTTGGGGGGGCATTATTGAGCCTTTCGAAAGCTTTTTCATCGGGATCTAAATATTCCGATTCTAAAAATGATAATAATAATAGAATCATTCTGTGTGCGATTAATCGTAATATCACACGGTAAAATTTTTACGTACCGCTACTTTGGGGTATGACGTCAGGATTATTATCATCATCGCAGGACGGGTATTTTTCATTTTCCTCTGAAACTTCGCACGTTTTTTTATTCGTTGATTTTTTACGAATTTTAATTATCAATAACGATATTAATAATATTAATATCGAAATTATTCCTGCGCCGCATGATATTATTATGAGAGGAGTTAATTTGAAATTGAATATCGGACTTCCTTCTCCGGCTAGAAAGTAAAAAAACGTTCGTTAGAATTTGCAACAGTAAAAAAAAAATTTTATATATTTTACTCGATAGGACCGATCGTACCTGTGCGTTTTTCGGCATCTTTCAAAGTTAAAACTTTCAAATAAGTTATGTCGCTGTGACCTTTAGCATTGACCGCATATAAACTTATATCAAATCCGACGTTGGATTCCAAACTGTGTACGTCGAAAACGGGAAATTTAGACGTGACATTAACGACAAGAGTTTGAGTTTGAGAATCGAAAACTTCCATAACGAATTCTTGTGGTAGGCCGCCATCGAAACCTTCGGTACATTCAACTAAAAAAATATCCATCGTTTGATTGGCTATGCTGCAATTGCTCAAAGGATCCGGTTTTCCTGAAAATTGTTAATTAAGATCAATGGAAAAAAAATAAAAGAGAGAAAGAGAGAGAAATAGGAAAAAGTTTTTTAAAAACCTGCAGGTACAACGTGAAAAACGCAAGGTTCGACTTGCATTCCTCTTGAATTTTTAGCCCAACATAAAAGAGAACCATAATCAAGTTCAGTCATTGGTGCATAACTCGCAACACTTCTTAACTTATCGTGTACGACGTGTGATTGTGGTATGTCTATTGTTTCCGACGTGTTATTAAATCTCCAGTAAAATGTTACGTTTGGAGGATTTGCTTCCACTTCGCATAAAACTCTTGCAAATTCGTATCGTGCAACTCCTAAAACTTTTTGCTGACCCGGCCTACACACCGGACGGACTGTAATTCAAAATAAAAAAATCATTATACATCAAATAAAAAAATCGATAAATCAATAAATAAATAAAAAAACTCACATTTAACATCTAAATTAACCGGATTGCTTTCGCCATCACCTTCTTGATTCGAACCTACGCAGGTATATAAACCCGCACGAGCTCTCGTTATACTTTGAAGAACCAAACTTTGATTACTTATAATTGTTCCGGCAGAAGCATTGTTAAAAAGCGTGACACCCTACGACAAAAATCACAACAAATTAATTAATAATAATAATAATTATTAGTATATTAAAAAAAATAAAAAAAATTAAGGTACTCACGTTGTGTCGCCAACTCACTCGATACACCCACGGATTTGATTTTATGTTACATTCGAAATACACGTCGACACCTTCTCTAATGGCGCTGCTGACAATGTTGCTTCCCAATTCGAGTGTTACGATGGGTATGTTTGATTAACAAAAAAAAAAAAAAAGAAAATTGTTTTGAAAAAAAACAGTTGATAGAATTATAAACATTTATGTCAACGAAACCGTAGCAAAAAAAAAAAAAACGGTTTTTTTAAAGAAGATTCTTTTTTTTTTCCTACACGATATATCATGATCAATGATAAAAGTGGCAAAAATTCGACCTCATTTTTCATTCTGTCTCATTACTTTTTTTTTTTTTTTTTAAATTTAAAAAAAATATATATCTTGACACTTGAGATTTCTATTTAAAAAAAAAAAAAATTTTTTTTTTCGGATAAATTTATGTTGATGTGTTAAATAAAAAATAACGATTTTAAAAAAGGAAGAAGAAAAAGGAAAAAGTTTTCTTATATATAAATTTAACATGTAATCTAATACGTTTTTAACACGCGAAAGATAAAAAAAAAAAAAGGAAATAAGAGAAAATTCATTGATTATAACTTACGGTATATATTTAATTTCCAAGAATCTTCTAACGAACTATTTGGTAATAAAGGCGTTCCAGACCGACACGTTAATATTTTTCCAGAATCGTCTAATTTCGGTATGAATGTTAATGTGCTAATTGTTGAATTTCCATTTGCACTCGTCTGAAAGCAAACATAAACATAAAAAAATTAATAAAAAACAATTTTCGTGCGAATGAGAGAAATCAAAACGAACGACAAATTCAAACAGACAAACAGACAGACAGACAGACAGACAAAAAGATAAATAAAACAAAAAAAAAAAAAAACTATTGTATTTGACTTTATTTATTTTTAACTTTAAAATTGCGGAAATGAATTCGTGACGTTCACTCTCGTTTGCGGTTTCAAAATAAACCACAAAATTTTAGTTCTCATTAAATTCTGAATAAATTTTGCGACGGACGAAATGATCAACCAATCGGAATCGAGATCGGTGAAAAAATTTTGCGACGGACGAAACGATCAACCAATCAGAATCGAGATCGGTGAAAAAATTTTGTGACGGACGAAATGGTCAACCAATCAGAATGAATCTTTTTTTTTTTAATATGAAAACGAATAAAAAATTTAATATCAAACAAACAAACCACAAAATTTTAGTTCTCATTAAATTCTGAATAATTTAGAAATTTTAATAAAAAAAAAAAAAAAAAAAATTTAACGAACGAAACGATCAACCAATCGGAATCGAGATCGGTGAAAAAATTTTGTGACGGACGAAATGATCAACCAATCGGAATCGAGATCGGTGAAAAAAAATTGTAACGAACGAAATGAACAACCAATCAGAATGAATCTTTTTTTTAATACGAAAACGAATAAAAAATTTAATATCAAACAGACAAACTACAAAATTTTTGTTCTCATTAAATTCCGAATAATTAGAAATCTTACTGAAAAAAAAAAAAACCTAAAGAAACCATTTTTATATTATCCCCCCTTTTTTCCTCCCCCTACCCCATGTTAAACAATTTTTAAAATTTAATTGAAAAAAAAAAATATTTGACGGACGAAAGTATCAACCAATCAGAATCGGGATCAGTGAAAAAATTTGCAACGGACAAAACGATCAACCAATCGGAATCGAGATCGGTTTAAAAAAATTGTAAAGAACGAAACTATCAACCAATCAGAATGAAGCTTTTTTTTTTAATATGAAAACGAATAAAAAATGCAATATCAAACCTTTTCTTCGGAATTTCTTAATTGCAAACTTCCTTTCCACCATGTTACTTTCGGTTCCGGTTTAGCTCCAATTGTTTCGCATTGAATTTTATAAACGGCTTCAGCAGAAAGTGGACGGTTTTCTCCCAATAACTTAACCGATAATGGTTTAACTGTAAATAAATAATATAAATAATTGTTACGATGGTAACAAATCACGTGGCAAGAGTTGAATAAAATGTTTTTAAACCTTTTTTTTTCTTTTTTTTTTCTTTATTGGGAAAAAAAAATTTCAATAAAATTCTACTCCCCCTCCCTCTCTCGTTAAATAAAAAAAAACCTCTTTTGGAACGCGCACGTATACTTTTTATTTTATTTTTATTATTAAAATAAAATAAATAAACATATTGGCAATTAATAATAATAATAATAATAAAAAGTTTAAATGTGAAAATGACATATAAACCATTGAAAATTTCTATGTCGTGCCTTTAGGCGAAAATAAAAGAGGTACGGTGGGAGGGAGGGAGGGATAGGGAGGGTGGAAAAAAAGGGTTTTTCAATAATGAAACTTTCAATATTTACCCTCCATCGGTTTATTGCTAAATCAGTAATATTTTTCTGTTTATATAAGAGTCTTTAAATTCAATTACTTTTCCTTTTTTTTATTTATTTATTTATAATCCCACAAAGGAAAAAAAATATATATATATGAATCCACAAAAAAAAAAAAATAAAACGATGACGAATTCTTTTTTTTTTTTGTTTCCATTTTTTTTTTCCAGGAGAGAAAGAGAACTTTAGAAAATATAAAAAAAGAAAAAATTTGTCCAGTTTTTTTTTTTTTTTTTTACAGAAAAAAAAAAAAACGTAATGGAATCGTAAAAATTTTATAGAATTAAATCAATAAAAAAAAACGACGGTGAGAAATTAATAGAAAAAAATGATGATGATGATGATAATAACGATAAAGAATAAAAAAAAAGAAGAAAAACGATGAGAAATTCATAAGATTTTAAAAAAATAAAAATAATGTTTCGATTATGTGGGTATTTAACAAAGCGTTATCGGATGGATGGTCTGGAAAAACAAACGAACAAACAAACAAACGAAATTCGTTTAATAAATAGAATCATCCTTTTTAATAATAAATTCTTCTCTAACGAAACATTTCTCTAACGGAAATGTATTTTTAAAAAAAATTAAATTAATTAAATATAAATTTAATTCTTCTTACACGTTTTTCAAGTTTTTTTTTTTTTTTTTTTGTAAACGAAAGTCACTTAAAAGGTTTAAATAAACGTTTCGGTTGATTACCTTAATGATTTTATTTAAATAAAATATTCGAGCCGTGAAATAAAACAAAAGATTTTTTCTTTTTTTTTTATTATAAAAATATATTATTTACGTTACGTTACTTTTTGGATGATTTTTTTTTCGTCGCCATATTTAAAATTTATTCAACGGTAAATAATAATAATATTTTCAAATTTTCATAAAGAAAAAAAAAAAAATTTTCTTTAAATGAAAAGTTTTGCACGTGCTGACACCCAATGAGAAAATATAAAAGTTTTTTAAAATTTATACGATTAATAAATTTGACGTTAGATGTTGCTGACGCTTTATTTTTATATATTTTCTTTTTTAATTTAAATAAAAAAAAGATTTTTAAAAAATTCTTTTTTTTTTTTTTTGAAATTCCCGTTTTTTTTTTTCTTCGAACTTGGTTGGTTTAATTAAAATATTGGATTTCGTATTGGGTTATGTAAATTTAAATTAAAAAAAAAAAACGAGGAAGATAATAAAAAAAAAAAAGAAAACGTTGGAATTCCATAATAATAAATGCTACGAAAGAATGGAAAATGACTTAAAGGTTATTATCATTAGTTTAATCATTCAAAAAAAAATGTTAAAGCTACGTAAAAAGAAAAGTCAACAACAAAATACCTGAATCGTATCGTAAATGACGTCATTCATTACAAACAGAAAAAAAAAATTTTTTTTCAAAATGAGAAATAAATCAAAGAAAGAAAGAAGAAGAAAAAAAATTCGAAAAACAAATTTTTTACATTTAAAAAAAAAAAAAAATGTAGAAAAAAAGAAGAGAGGTGGAAGAGAGGGGGAGTGAGGGTAAAAAACGAAAAGAAAAACAGGAAAAACGTAGAAAAGTCAGAGGAGAAGACGAACGAAAAATAATAATAATAATTTTCCGGTGAAGGTTTGGATAAATAAATGATATTTTGCATACAATCGAATCATTTTTCTTTTTTCCTTTTTTTCCCTCTCCCCACCTCTTTTCCCCTCGCAAAAAAAATTTATCTTTATCAATTCCAGATTTAAAAAATAATAATAATAATAATAATAATACGAAAACGAAACGAGAAAAAAAAAACAAAAAAATTAAATGTTTTTATTTTTTTTTAAATCCTTAATTTATTTTAAGTCTCGAAACGAACGAACGTTGGAGGTGAGGGGATCAAACAAACGGGGAGACAAACGAACGGATTTTTAATATTTCAATTTTATTTTTAATCCAGACGTTGTTTGCTTTTTTTTTCGTTTGTTTTCTACATTTGCGGCGGATTTTTAATATCAAATAAAAAATTAATAAACAATTTTCATACAACCTGGAAGGTAAAAAAAAAAAAAAAAACAAATTTTTTTCAGGTACGTGATAAGTTACGTCACGTAAAAAAAAAAAAGTTTTTCTCCGGATTTTCGCTGCCTTTTTTTTTCTCAACCTTTTCCGCACCTTTTTTTGTTTATTTCATACATTAATGAAGGTTTAAAATAATTTTAATCCTTATAACATGAGCGAATAAACTTTTATTTAATCCTAAAATCGGTTTTACTAACTTTTATTCCCTCCCCCCACCAACCACTCACTCACTCCCCCCAATGAAAAACCTTGAAAAATAATAATAAAAAAAAACTAAAGCCGCCATCTTTATTCCAAAAAAAAAAAAAAAATTATTATCATTATGTTTAAATAAAGTTGAATTTTTATTAGCTGGGTATTATTATTATTATTATTTTTATTATTATTATTATTACTATTATTACTATTATTATTATTATTATTATTATTATTATTATTATTATTATTATTTCATTTTCATTTTCCGACATTTTGTTTATAATAAAAACGGAAAGAGTTTTTCACGTGTAAAATTTTAAAATTAAAAAAAAAAACGAGATCCCGATAAAACAATTTTTTTTTCTTTTTTTTTTTTTCAATTTGAAAACAATTATCGATACGTCATCATAATAAATTCATTCGATTTTATCGATCGATAATAATCAATAATAATAATAATGATGATGATGATAAAGAAAAGTTTTTAAACAAAAAAAAATTTTTTTTTGTTATATGATTTATCGTTGGAAAATATTTCTCTCATTTTTTTTTTTTTGTAAAATTTCATTCGGAACCTTTTTTATTATAGTTTTAGTTTTGAATCGAATATTAATAAAAACTGAATTCCCCGCCCCATCCCTCCCCTCCAAAAAAAAGGTTTTTAATATTATCAAAAACGTTAACGTTACTACTACTACTACTACCTGACTCGCGTGTGTGCGTTGACAAAAAAAAATTTAGAATTTCGTTAAAGAAATTAATAATATTTTTATATTTAATATGTGATAATAATAATAATAATAATGATAAGAAATAATCATCAAAGTAATAACGTAAAACTGAATAATACAAACTTCTTTTTGCGACAATTTTAATATTTTAAAAGGGTTCGGAAAATGTTTGGAAAAAAGAAAAGTTATTAATAAAGGAATTCATATTCAAAAGCAATGGTCGCAATTAAATCTTTTTTTTTTAAACATTAGAAAATTTACAAAACGGAAAATCCTTGAATACAAATTTAATATTTATATATATTTAACAAGAAATGAATATTCACGCACTCACTCACGCATACGTGGAAAAACATCATGGGGGGAGGGAAATTTTATCACACAATGGCTTAACACACGTACGTAATACCTATCACTTTCTCCCTCTTTTTTCCCCTTTCCCCTCTCCCGTGCGATTATATTTTATCTTTTCCTTAATAACTTCTTTCATTTATAAAATTTATTTTATTAAAAAAAAAATTTGAACGTGGAAATAGATAATAAATATTTATTTGGAAAAAAAAATAAATTTTACGTAATAACAACTAACAATAAGAAAATTCATTGTTTTGTTTATCTATTAAGTTCGTATAACAAACGCTAGGAGCGCTCAAAATCAAAACAATAAAATTTTCCAATTGAAAAAAATTTTAAAAATTTATGTTGTGAGAAAATATTTTTATGTTTATGTTTGTGTTGTTGTTGTTAATTACACGTTAGGTAAATGAAATAATGAAAAAACAAAATTATCACGTACAAAAACTATTCGAAATTGAATTTATAATTCGTTAAAAAATTTACCGCCGCCATTTTTGTCACGTGATGTTTATGTTTACATACATATACATACCGGCAGCCTTAAATTAATTTATTAACTTTATTTAAATGTGACATGTTTTTTAAGTTAAAACATCACTACCGACCGAAAACTACTGCAACAACAACAACAACAACTAAAAACTAAAACATAATCTAAGCAACAAATAATCCTCTTAACAAGTTTTCAAAGAGTAAAATGAAAAACAAAATAAAAAAAATATAAATGAGAAAAAAACAAAAAAAAAAAAAATTAAAATTTTATAATCTTCTTTTAAAATTAACTTGAACAATCGATTTTCAAGATGTTTAATAGGATTATCTAAGTTATCAAGGATGCTGCGGTTTTCTTAAGATAGATTTGAAACTAATATAAGATTAGCCACGAGGAAAATTTTTTTTTTTTCGCTTTATTATTATTATTATTTAAACCTTTTTTCCTTTTTTTTTGTATAAAATATTAATTGCCGTTTTTGTCATTTTCCCACCCCCCCAAAAACGTTCGTTCGTTTTTTTTCGATGTGCTTGCTTCCTTGCTTGCTTAATTGAATTTTTTGTTTGTTTGTTTGTTTTTGAACAAGAAAACTCAGCGGGATAGTCTAAAAACAGGCTTGCCAATATATCAAAATAAGTCAACAATAAAAAATTTTTTTTCTTTTTTTTTTTTTTTTTAGATATGAGTTGAAATCAAGAGATGGAAATAATCTGAACTAGTTCACCCCCTAAAGGG